TATACTAGATAATAAAAATAAACTAGTTACTATTTACTATATACTACCCCTAGATAGATAGTAGGATAGAGCGGGCAAACTAAGAGGTGTAGGTGGTGCTGTGTATAATAGTATGCTTTAAGCAGACTAACTAGCCTAACTACCTGCTAGCCTGCTAACTTGCACTTAATAACAGGGACTCTAGCATAACTAGTGTTAGCCTAAATCTACTTTTAAATAGGTATACTATAGACACGCTATAAAAGATAATATTACTACTAGTAAAGCCTAAGAATCCTTATAAAGAGGCTATAGTATTCTTATTATACCTATAGAGGGGTGTAAAGCTAGTATAAGCTACTATTATATTCTAATAGTAATAATAATAGGAAGTAATAAACTAGTCCTATTACCTAGCTAAAAAGTTCCTAAAAGGTAATATAGTTTAGTTTATAATACGTAATATAAAGATAAACTAACTAAGTAAAAAGTTTAACTAGCTATAAGTAAAGTATAGAGTAATAGAAGTCCCTACTCTACTTATAGTAGTATTAGATTTACTAGGGAACTTATATAAGACTATATATATAGATCTACTAGAGAGAGCTACTAATAACCTACTACTAAGCTAGAAGCTTTAGGACTTATAACTAGGTCTAATAGTTACTCTAGAAAATAAAGATATAATACTAGATAAATAGGAAGTAGAAGAGATCCTTTATATAAAAAATATAAGAGGAAAAGGAAAGTATTAAGTCCTAGTAAAATAGAAGGGGTATATTAATCTAATATAGTACCTGCTAGAGGTAGTATAGGATACTAAGGCTCTAGATAAGTTTAAGAAATAGTATAGGGATACTACGTATAATAATAGCCTAATATATATAAAAGCTAGGAGGTAAGGCTAAAAGGAAACTAGAATAATAACTTAGACCTTTATTATAATTAAGAAGTAGAAAGGTATTAAAGATATCTTTTATTTATCCTAATAATACTTTAAGTAAGTGCCCTACTACTAAAGTTTTATAATATAGCTAATAATTAGGTAGTAGTATCTATACTATTACTATCTATAACTAACCCCTCCCTAGCCCCCCTTAAACTATTATTTATATTATTCTAACGCCTTTATATCTCTTAGTAATAGTAGTAACGCTTGCGCGTAGCGTAGGTAAGGGAAGACTTAGTTAACAAGTATAAGTAGTAGTAGTAGTAGTAGTAGGAGGAGGGTAGTGCTTTAATAGCTTACTAATATATAGTACCCTAGGCCTAAAGAAAGTAAATATTAGAATAGATATAAAGGGAATAAGGGAAAATTAATACTAATAATAACAGTCTTAATACTATAGGTAGTGCGCTTAGCAGCGCTCTTAAGCTTATTAATATAAAGGTTAGTTTAGGCCTAGGTCTTATCTATACGCTAGTTAATACGCTAGAAGGTAATACTAGTAGTAGCAGTAAGCTATATAATATTATTATTACTATAACTACTATATAAAGGCGTAATAGCAGACTAAAGTAGAAATACTAGAGCACTAGTAGTAGATAGAATAATAGCACTAAGCTAATACTAATTATAGGCACGTAAGTAGGTAGTAGGGGTAAGTAGAGTAATAGTATTATTAGTTTAAGCCCTTAATATAAGATCCTTAAAATAATAGTAGAGCTAGTAGAACTATAGTACAAACTAGTAATAGGTGCCTTTAGTAGGTTTCCCTATAAAGGTGCTAAGGGTCCCCTTCTTTGTAATATAGAGGTAATCCTCCTAGTAACTATAATAAAACTAAAGCTAGTTATAAAGAGCTTAGCAAATATTAGGATTATTAGTAAGGATAGCTTCTAATTAAGTATAGGTCTTGTAGCTACAATAGCAGGACTTATATAAGCGCCCTAGATATAGATAGAACTTGCTATAAAGAAAATAAAAATTAAGGGGAACTTACTACTACCTTCCTAATAGTTATACTTACTAAAAAGATAAAGCTAGTTAATATACTAATTATAGGGAAGTAGCTTTATAAAGCTACTATTATACTCCTTATTATCTAAGTTACTAGAAATAATAAAGCTACTAAGTAGCTATATTTAGGGAGACGTGTGCTAAGTAAAAGTTAGTATAGGAAATATAGGAAGAATATTAGAAGTACGCACCTTATCTTAGTAGGCCTAGTATAGGGTCTAACTACCTTATAGTAGATCCCTACTACTAGCACTAGTAGTAGTAGATAAGGATATAATAGAGGCTAAATAGGTAGGATTAATATAGAGAAGGTAGAAAGAGGGCTAATTAGTAGGGAAAATCTATTATATAATAAAGTAAGTTTAGGAAATTTATAGTAGGCAGGGGATAGCTATATTAGAACTTTTATAGTAGGGTGCTAAAATAAGTATATAGACGCTACGCGTGCGTACTACTTAATATATAGGCCTATTATAAATTAGGAAGGAATAAAGATATAATAATAAAACCTAAGAATATATAGAAATAAAGCTAAAAATAGATTATAGGGTACAAAGATATAACCCTAGACCCCTAGAAAGACAATTTTATAATAGTTTATAGGGAAGGTTAGGGGTATATAAAGGGCTTAGGCTTGTAACAAGGTAGGCGCCCTACCTATAAAATAAATACTACGTCATCTCCCCTATCTATACTAATTTAGCTATAGTCTAAAAGGTACGCACAAGAATACTTAAGCTAAGTAATCCTCGCATAGTATAATATATATATCTTAGCTAAACAGCCTAAGATAATAGTGCTAGACCCTAGCGCCAACCTATGAACCTTGTTCAAGTCTAGCCTAGGCATCTAGTAAGCGCTAGCTATTTTAGCCTAGCCTTGTTACAAGGCTTATGCCTAAGCCTAGGTCTAACACAAGATAGACTAAGTCTAACACTACTACTAAGCAAACACATTACATACCTATAAAAAGGCGCTAAGGGCTTACCTCTCCTTTAAGATACTAAATACTATTATTAACGCTTATTGCATTCTCCCTTAAGGCTAGTCTATAACATAGCAGTTAATAAAGCGCTACACCTAATTTTTGCCTACTAGATTCCCTATTATTTTAGTTACAAAATTTTAAATAATAGTCTATATAGGGGGTAATCCTTACCTATAAAGCTCTTTAATATACTTTATAAGCTTACTTTCTTATATAGTGTTAAGTATTTAACTATTTAGTAGAGTAGTAGTACGCGCCTACTAAATTTTCTAGTAGTGTCTAGATAAGGTTAACTATAAGCAACTATACTTTTCTACTATTTCTAAGTATATAAAATCTTCTCTAAGAGTTAAGGATTTAATTGCTGCAAGCGCGTTGTTAATAGGTGCTATAGTTGTTGAGAAATTTAGTGTTGAAAATTTAGTGATTTTAGTGTTGGTGGGCGCTCGGTGGGGGTGGGCGCTCGGTGGTGGATCACGTTAAGCGAGCACAAGATTATTTCTATTTTGGCCAATATTTAAGAGGGCTGGATATTTAAAGAGCTCTTATTCCTAGGTATTGTTCAATCATCCAGTCATTGTCTCTCTACTATCGAGTACCTTGTTACACGCCTATATGATGCATATTCGCACGCTTCTTACCGCACTTCTTGTACCTTTGCTGTATATATTTTAGCAGCCTTAGTTTTAAGACCTTGCTAATTATTAGTAGGGTGAACGGTGACACACACACGCGATGTCGGTGCAACATTGAAAGGGAGAATCCATGTCAACAGAAAGCCTGCGAAAATTATGGCACGAAATTTTTTGTCAAGCGCCCTTTTTTTCCACCAGATGCTGACGTGTTAAAACAGCCTGTGCTGTGGTTGGTTCGTGCGTTTCACCA